CTAGGATATTTAGACTGGTGTAAGATGTGTATCAGCAGAACCAAATATTACTTTCCATTCTCAGATCAGTGCAACCTCTTACTTTTCAGGTGTAGCCTGCATCACACACTAATTATGTCCAAGCGATTAACAAATAGCTGAAATGAATCAATTCTCCAGAATGCATTTCAAGATCTGAAAAGCATCTATATTTACTGCAAACTCTATTAGGATATGCTTGAAATTAATAGACACAGAATTTTCTTTATCAAATCTGAATAAATGGCAAAACTAGTCCAAAAAAGCAACTTAGATCTGAATCAAAGAATAAAAGCGAAATTATGCACTTAGTCTAATCCCTATTACAGAAGCTCATGCATCACAAAATCATTATTATTTTTATACATTTTTGAACTTATTTTATATGCAAGATCCCCAAACTAATCAAATGAGTCACTTGTATTTGTAGAAATAGAACATTTAACAGCAGCAGCAACAAAGTAAGATGGAAATAAACAGCAAAAACATTTGCTGAATTTGCTAAACAGACCAAGAAACACTTTTCTTCTCTGTCTGCCTGAAACAATTCACAGAGAAAGCTTCCCTTCCCTTCCCTTCCCTTCCCTTCCCTTCCCTTCCCTTCCCTTCCCTTCCCTTCCCTTCCCTTCCCTTCCCTTCCCTTCCCTTCCCTTCCCTTCCCTTCCCTTCCCTTCCCTTCCCTTCCCTTCCCTTCCCTTCCCTTCCCTTCCCTTCCCTTCCCTTCCCTTCCCTTCCCTTCCCTTCCCTTCCCTTCCCTTCCCTTCCCTTCCCTTCCCTTCCCTTCCCTTCCCTTCCCTTCCCTTCCCTTCCCTTCCCTTCCCTTCCCTTCCCCTCCCCTCCCCTCCCCTCTCCTCCCCTTCCCCTCCCCTCCCCTCCCCTCCCCTCCCCTCCCCTCCCCTCCCCTCCCCTCCCCTCCCCTCCCCTCCCCTCCCCTCCCCTCCCCTCCCCTCCCCTCCCCTCCCCTCCCCTCCCCTCCCCTCCCCTCCCCTCCCCTCCCCTCCCCTCCCCTCCCCTCCCCTCCCCTCCCCTCCCCTCCCCTCCCCTCCCCTCCCCTCCCCTTCCCTTCCCTTCCCTTCCCTTCCCTTCCCTTCCCTTCCCTTCCCTTCCCTTCCCTTCCCTTCCCTTCCCTTATACTTTAATTAATATTAGTAAATAATAATACCTAAAAAAATAATTAAAAAAAAAAATCAGAAGACCACTTTCATTCAACTCAGCAAATGCAAGTATGTTTAGATCATGGAATAATACAAATAATATTTGGAGGATGCCTTTATAGTAATAATTTTGTAATAAATTTTCATGTAGCAAAGGTTTTTCTATTTTATTAACTTGCTTGGTTTTTTTTTTACTCCTTTTGGAATTATTCTACATCCCCTCAGTTAATCATTGCTATTGTTTAACAGAGAGGACAGGAATTAATTATTGTTATTAGTGTAATTATCTAACAAAATGTAAATCATTAGGACTTGGCTTCAGGATTTAGAAGCAATTGTGTATGTGCTTATAACTGCGAAACAAAGATGGAACCAAAACTTCGAGCTGCATAGACTAGGAAACATGATAGCATCAGGCTCATCTTTCAGACGTGAGCTAAAAGGGAATTTGTAAACAAAATCTGTTTCAAATACACAAGAATTCTTAGGGTTTAATTTTGTCAGTCAACTTGAGATTGGTTTGAACAGTACAGGGTTACCTGAGATTTGTCATAAAACCAGAGAGGACAGTATCAAAATGTTTTTTTAAATGAAAACACACACACAATGAATATTAGAAATATTTAATTTCAGTATGGAATGTAGTCAAATGAAAGTCAGTGAAAAAAAAAAAACCACCTTTTTTCAAAGTATGCCTTTACATCCTTTTTTTTTTTTTTTTTTTTTTTTTTTTTTTTGTGGGGAGGGGGGGCATTTTATGTTCTTTTATTTCATTTTACTTCCTAGTTCTAGCTTTATTTTTATCTATCCATGCAGCAAATCTATGACAAAATATATATGTGTGCTTGGTAATAAATTAGTGCACTACTCTGACAAAAAAAAAAAAAATCAGAAAACATTAAAGGGTTAAATCACTGTATGGAATCTGTAATATCTAATAATGATAGAGAAGTATCTTTCCAGGTGAATAACTTTGTACATATTAACTAAATACAGAAATCTGTTCAGAAGTCTGATGTTTTTGGTGGTGTTTTTTTTCTGGAGTTAATTTTGAAATGTTCAGATACATAAATCACAACTCTTAAACCACTGTCTGTCTACACATTATTACTCTTCTGTGATAGATTTCAGATACGAATGTGCTGAGCTTAACTTCTATTGCCAGCTTTTGTGGAACTTCTACTTCACTGAGTAGATCAAATAACAAGAGATTGACTGTCATCCTGTATAATCTCTATCTTGGAACATACAACTGAAGGAATAAGGCTTAAAACCCAAGGCAAATACTCTGTAATACTAACATCAAAAGGACATCCACTACTGGTGCCCTCTTCCTCATTCTTACCTATTCTGTCATATAATGACTACTCATGGCCCATCAAAATGAATGTGAAGTTTTCAGTGAAAAGACCTCTATATGTACAGTATGAAGTCACACAGAAGAGGGTGGGAAACAGGAGGTCAGATTAACCAAGGGATCCATTAAAGTGAACTATATTTATGCTAAAATGATGCTTTCTAAAATTTCTGTGAGTTGGCTCTTAAGGAAAATTATTTTCTTACTTGAAGTATTTAATATTGAATGGAATGACGTACTGAAAGTCTTTTATCTAAAAGAGATTTCCCACTCAGAAACTTAATCCCAACTGTTACTCTTTTTATCATGGCTTAAAAAGGGAAGAAGAAATTAGAGGAAGGACAAACAAGCTAGGATATTATCAATATGTCATCCTATATATAATTTACCTATCAAAATCAGAGATGTAAATTGAACTTTTTCTCTCGCATCCCTATTCGATTCTGATGTTGTTACTGTAGCTGGACACATAATTTCCTGGACAGTGGATGTAGGTCATCAGGAAAATGTAGCCCTCATTTCAAATAATATAAATAGTCTTTCTGGACATTTTCCATTTTTAATCTGGTGTAAATTAATCTAGTCTGCACTTCAGTCAATCTTAATTAATGATTCACAATATTACATCAATTCTTTCTCTATTGCAATTCGAGCAGTAGGGACTATCTCAATATTACACTGAAGTGTTTCATACCCATTCCATATTGGAAACTCCTAGTCAATAAATGACAAATTGTCTTCCTCCTTTATCAGTTCCTTAATTGTCAGATCTTTTATTCCCTCCTCTACCTTACCCCCCTCAGTTTATCTCAGATTTTCATTAATCCCCTTGAATGTCATGACTAGACACTTCATCCCAGTGTTATTTCTCTAGATCATACAAACATCCAATTCTTCTTAATTATCTGACCTTTCTCATTTTCTGAGATGTGTCATTATCTTGTGTAATCTACAACTCTAAGGGGTTTAAATTCATTTATTCGTCAGATAAAATTTTCTGAAGAATGAAATAATAACATTTGAATAAATTCTTGCTTATCTCTTTAAACTCATGCTTTAAAACTCTTATAATGCAGGAAATGGAAACAAACGTTTCCTCAATGTGTATGTAAGTTGGATATTGTGACACTTTTATAATATGAGTATGGTACATTTTGCATTTTTTTTTTTCCTTCAAAAAAACATGTTTCTTACAAGAATATGTTTGGAAAAAATTGCTGCCATCTTTTGGCTATGTTGAAGGGGAAAAAGGGGGTCATTATGTTGAAAGTTCCAACAGACATCCTCGATAACTGCTTTACTATGGACAAGTTAATTTGAAAATGCAGAAAGTTACTCTCAGATAAACATCCTTCCCCATTTTATATAGCGATTGTACCATAACACCTGTGCCAGAATTACTGCCTTGGTTAAGCAGTAGGGAAAATAGCTGTCAATGAAAGATGTGGCACCGACATTGAGGATAAACATAACAACAAAACAGAGGTAACAACAAAACAGAGGTAACATATACAGACAGAAAATTATATCCATTTGCCCTGTTTAATCTTTTATATTTGCCACCTTGTCCTGTTGTTTGAATAGGAAATAAAACTTATTTTACCTACACAATTATTACAATTTAGAATTACAACTTTCTTTATCCTGAAATTTATTTGGAATCTGTTGTATTAGTATTATATTACTTTTTCTGCTTATTTATTTTCTTCTTCTTCTTTTTTTTTTTTTTTTTTTTTTTTTGAATTTCCAAAATATATAATTAAATTATTGTTATGTATTCAGACCAATACTGGCTTTTGAGACGTACACTGCACATTCTGTAAAGTCTTTTTAAGAATAGAGAATACAATTGTCAGGGAGAATAAATCAGTGATAAAATCTGGGAGAATGAAACATTGTCCAGGGAAAATAATGACATATCTTGCCAGCACTGGATTTTATTAAAACATGCTGCAATTTTTCTTTATCTCTTGGAATGAGGCTCAGACAAGCATTCTGTTACTGATGGGACAGGAGAGGAGACCAACACCAGCTGAGCCATAATAGTACTCAGCAAAAAGTCAGGAGTTGTGGGGAAGAAAACAGTAGACATCCTCCGCGCTTTGCACAGTACAGCTGACTTTGCAGTTAGTAACATTTCTGCTTGGGCTCAAGGGCCAGCAGGCCAACAAGTTACATTCACACTATCCATCACCTCTCAGCAAGTGACATGAGCACTTACACTAACAGCAGCGAACTGACCACTCTCTCCTCCTTACAGTGGAGCCAGGGATGGTTTTGCAAAAATAGCTAATTAAAAAAAGGCTTATAATATCCCACTCTGTAACAAATTAAGCTGACTCATTGCCCCAGCCACCAATTATATTTAAAAAAAATGAAAGAATAAAATCCCTCATTAATCATTCTTCCTCTTTCAACTTTACATTCCCAATTCACCCTTTCTCCCCAGATATGCTGCCATTGAAACTTACCGCTTTTGCCAACTCCCCCTGCTCCTAGCATCACCACCTTGTACTCTCTGGAGCTTGCTGAAGAATTGCTGGAGGAGCTGATCATTTTGTTTTCTAGCTCCATCTTGCACGAGGCAGAAGAAGGGAGAAAAAGGCAAGAAAAAGCAACTGGCAGATGCTGTCTCTGATCTTAAACAACTATAAAAGCTCTGTTAAAAAAAAAAAAAAAAAAAAAAAAAAAAGGAGAATGGAAAGGTATAATACAAGAGGTATGATTTATCAGCCTTACACTCGCTGCTGTGCTTGTGTTAGCTGGAGAATGTCTCATAGCAACCACTTTAACAGCTTCCAATAAAAATCTCTCTCTGCCCCCTCCCAGCTCTGTATCATTTTCCATGTTTCTCCTTCTGGACAGAAGCAGTTTTGTGAGGCTCAAGAGCTTAGATACCTCTGGGTGTTGCTGTGTCACTGGAATCAAATTTAGCAGACACTCCAGGAAAAAAAAAAAAAAAAAAAAAAAAAAAAAAGGATTAGATTGCTGAATTATGATGCTTGCATTCTGTGTATCACTTTCTTGGATTTTAAGCAACAACAAACTACCAGACAGCCCCCTTACAAACTTGGAGTTAAATACTGATTATATCTTCATAAAGTTTGCAAGATTTACATTTAATACAATCATAAACAAAAAGATCAACAACTTATAAAAGTCTTTGCTTTTGATTAATCTTCCTTCAAAGTTTTCTATAGTTAGGATTGCCCATAGATAATTTTCTTTTATTTCAGTCTGCATTATTTATTTATTCGCAGATTCATGAGTTTTGAAAGAAGGAAAGCAGCAGGGGCTTGTTTTGTTTTTATTTCCACAGAGAATTTCAGAAGAGAACTGAAACTAGAGAAGAAACAGCCATTCATCTAGAACATATTTATGTAAGTAAAATAAATAAAAACAATTCTAAGTATTTCTTGCGAAAATCATGTAACATACCCAAACAACTCAGTTTGTTCTAATAGATAAGGAAAAAAAGAAAAAAGAAAAAAGAAAAAGAAAGAAAGAAATACAAACGTCACACTGTGACTTATTCTCTCTTTAGAATTATCTAGCAAACTTACAAACAAGTGACCAGAATACTTCAGTGATTTCTGAAGGATATCCTTAAAAGCTGCGTTAAATTTAAAGAATATGGGAAGTATCATAGAATGATAGAATGCCCTGGCTTAAAAAGGACTTCAGAAATCATCTGGTTTCAATCCCACTGCCATAGGCAGAGTCACCAACCATTAGACCAGGCTGCCCAGAGCCACATCCAGCCTGGCCTTGAATGTATCCAGGGAGGGGGCATCTACAGACTCCTTCGGCAGCCTGTTTCAACAATTTAAAACCCTTGAATGAAAAAACTTCCTCCTAATTTCTAACCTAAATCTCCTGTCTTAATTTAAAACCATTTCCCCTTGTTCATCGTCATAAAAAATCATTTTGATTCCTATTCATATGCTCCCTTCAAGTACTTGAAGACCACAATGAGGTCTCCACAGAGCCTTCTCTTCTCCAAGCTAAGCAAGCCATTTCCCTCAATCATTCTCCATAGGAGAGATGCTCCAGCCCTCTGATCATCTCAGTGGCCCTCCTCTGGACCCTTTCAAAGAGCTCCACATCCTTTCTGTACTGGGGACCCCAGGCCTGGATGCAGTACTCCAGATGGGGCATCACAAGAGCTGAGTAAAGGGGGACAATTACCTCCCTCTTCCTGCTGGCCACCCCTCTTTTAGTGCAGCCCAGAACACATTTGGCTTCCCGGGCTGCAGGCGCACACTGCTGACTCATGTCCAGCTTCTCATCCACAAGGACCCCCAAATCCTTCTCCACAGGGCTGCTCTCAAGGGATTCTCCTTCCAGTTTGTACAACTGTATATGACATTTAGGATGCACTCAACGTCATTGTCTATGTCATTGATATATATGTTAAAGAATACTTGTCCCAAGACTGACCCTTGAGGTAAACCGCTTGTGACCAGCCTCCACCCAGATGTAGAACCATTGATCACAACCCTTTGCCTGTGACCATCCAACCAATTCTTAATCCATTGAACCACTCATCTTTCAAATCTACACCTCTCCAATCTGGAGGGAAGGATGTGGTGAGGGACTATGTCAAAGGTCTTGCAGAAATCAGGAAGATTACATCTGTCACTCTTCCTCTGATCACTGATGTGTCACTCCATCAAAGAAGGCCTCCAGATTGATCAGGCAAGATCTGCCTTTGGTGAATGTCATGGTTTTATGATTTTTGGCTATCAGTATTCCACACCATAACATCATGTATGGCACTGGGGAGGGGAGGGGGGGTTGACTTCTGTCGAATGTTCCTTCGACGAAGAAGAACTACGTTTCCCCAGGAGGCTTTGTGGTCAGCAAGGAGATATAACTCTGTGCAAGGTCACCTGACTTTTTTCTTCGCCTGCTCTTCGCCGTCTGTGCTTCGCTGTCTGTGCTTTGCCGTCTGCTTTTCTTCAGTCACTCAACTGGACTGCACTTCTCAACTCAGCATTGTGGTGAGGTCTATCTACCATCCAGACACACTCTCTCTCTCTCTCTCATTGTATTTTGCTAATACTATATTTAGTAAATCATTTGTTCCACCTCAGATTATTGCCACTGTTTTCAAGTATTTTGGGGTCCCCTGTTTCCCTTTTCTGGAGGCGCAGATCCAAAGATCCCTCCACCCTGCTGGTCACGGAACCGGGCAGAACCAGCCCGTAAACTGTTGACAGTGAACCTGTGCTAGCTGTTTCATATGTGCTTTAACATGGTAACCAGGAGGATCTGCTTCATGATCAAAGGCACAGAGGTGAGGCTCACTAGCCTGTAGTTCCCCTGTCATCCTTTCTTCCTTTCATGAAAATGAGCAATGTTTCCCCTTTTCCAGTCACCTGGGATTTCCCCCGACAGCCGTGATTTTTCACATATGGTAGATAGCGGCTTGGCAACTACATCAGCCATCTCTATCAGAACCCTAGGATGGATATCACCTGACCCCACTGACTTATATACATTCAGTTTCCTGATGAGGTCTTGGGCACATCCCACTGTTACAGCAGGGTAGAATCTGCTCCTCTCACCCCCACTTAGAGCTTCAGGGTCCTGGCAGACATAGGGAGGAGCCTGACCACCAGTGAAGACAGAGGCAGAGCACTTATTGAACACCTCAGCTTTTCCATGTCTGAGGAATCCAGTTCTCTGTCTTCCTTTATCAGAAGGGGAACACTCTCCTTGGTCTGTCTCCTCCTGCCTATGTGCCTATAGAACCCCTTGTTATTTTTCACATCCCTTGACAAGTTCAGCTCCGTCTATGCCTTGGTTTCCCTGATCTTATCCCTGTGGAAAATGTCCTTCCCAGATCACACATCCCTGCTTCAATTTCCTGTACATTTTCCTCTTTTCCCTCAGATTAAGCTGCAGGTCCTTGCTCAGCCATGCTGGTCACCCTCCTCCTCTGCTTGATTTCTTTTGCTGGGGGCTAGAGAGTTCTTCTGCTCACCGAAGTGTGTTCTTAAAGAGCTACTAGATCTTTTCTGTTCCTTTGCCTTTAAGGACAGACTCCCAGGAGATCTCATCCAGCAGTTCCTTGAGCAACTGGAATTTTGCTCTCCTGGAGTTTAGGGTATTAAATATAATGCCACCTCTTCTAGCTCAGGAAGTATTCAAGACTCATACCAATAAACCCAAGGAAACACTAGAAAAAAAATCAGTCTGTTCCCAGCCACATAGAAAAAGAGAACAGATGGATGCTGGTGATGGGTCTGGAATACCAGTCTTATGAGGAGCAGCTGAGGGAAATAGGGTTCTTTAATCTGAAGAAGAGGAGGCTCAGAGGAGAGCTCTCATGTTGCTCTCTATAACTACAAAAGAAGATAAGTGTTTCAGAAATTTCTGTCACGAGATTGTGATATGACAAAAGGTGATGGCCTCAATTTACACCAGCTGAGGTTCAGGTTGTATGTTAGGGAAAATTTCTTCTCAGAAAGAATGGTCTGGCACTGGAACAGTCTGCCAGAGTGGTGGTGGAGTCCCTATCCCAAGAAGATTACAAGAGATATGGAGGTGTGGCACTGAGGGACATGGTTTAGTGGGACTGATGGGGAGGAGTTGATGGTTGAAACAGATGATCTTAGAGATATTTTCCAACCTCAACGTTTCTATGCCTCTATGATTCTTTGATTCTATTCTCTACTACAGCCTTCTTACAGGTTTTCTGTAATAACTACACTCTGTGCAGTTTTGTATGCTAGAATCACGTAGCTTTATCTATGCCTGGATACAAACCTCAGAATTCAGGAGGGTTTTTCTTCAGAGAATAAAATATGATTTAAGTAGAAAATTCTTAATGTAGTAATATGATGTCTAAATATCAAAACTCTGCAGTAAAAGACAGGAAGATCAGTAATTGACTATTGTGATTAGAATTCCATTCTCATTAAAATTATCCTCAAACGCTCAGCATAAACCTAACAGATAAAACAAATAATAATACTAAAATCACTCATTAAAACAGCTAGGTTTTCTAAGTAATCTCTCATCAACAATGTCTACCCTTATACCTGTCACCAGCATTTGTAAGACATTAAACATGCCAGGAAAGTGAGTGGTTGTGGGAGTGACTCAAAGGGAAACCTCAATAATTTTTTATTTTTTTTTAATATTAGTGAAAATTACATACACTTAATAGACAATAATTAGTTTTTTTTTTCTTTCTTCCCCTGTGGATAAAGTTTGCCAGATTTTTTTTTCTTACAGCTCTAAAATAAGAAGAATAATAGGAAATGGGCTACTACAAAAGAGAATTATGCAAGGAGCAAAATAAGACAGAAGTAAAAAAAAAAACAACACCCTTACTCATATTTTAAGAAAACCTAGAAAAACAGAAGACAGAATTTTATATAATGTAGAAGTGTGGAACAAATATCTGTTTCTAGAAGACTAACCATTTAAATTCGCCATTTAAAAGCAAAGATTCATGTTTATTAAACTGTCAACAGCCTAATAAGTAATATTATAGTTTATTAAGAAAATATGAACAATTTCCTCTACTATATCTCTCTCTATATAGTCTATATTTCCTCCTAACTATTTCTTTTCCACATCCTAAAAGGATGATACTAAATTCCCATTTATAATGCAGAAATTGTTCTACTGTTTGTTGCTGTAACTTCTTACTGACAGGCTCCTTTGCCCTAGTTTCATTCACTTCAGTGGAAGACTAGCATTTTAGCTTCATTTCCATTTATGATAATATCAGTTAGT